AGCTTTCCTGAATGTCCTCAGCAGAACTGTACTACAACAGAAGCAGTAATCCATGCTGTTCATGGCTCTTTTTCAGACATGTATCCTGTCAGTCAATGCTGAAGTGGCCAAATGTGTTTCCATATTATACCCAAAATTTCTCATTGCAGAGCAGCTTGGGGCTGGGGCTCAATTATTTGCCTTGTTTTATTTTCACTTATTTTTAGCAAGAAAAACACACTACAAACTAAAAAATATTCATTTGGGTCACAAGAACATTCATATTTGATAACTTTGCTGTCAGTTTAATAGGAATATGGACTAGGATTCTGGGTATGATATTAGCTAAATCAAAGACATTCAGGTATCTCAGTATTTTCAATATGTGTGTTTAACAATTCTTGGTGCCTATATTTTTCTATACATTTCTTTTTCCAAAGCAACCCACTTACTTCTGTTATTCTTCTTACTACTGTATTATGTACTGAGAACAACAATTTTTCATTATTCTTTTGGCATCATCATACTAGATTTTTCCTTATTAGTCATCTTCGTGTATCTACATAAATATTCAGTGAAAATACATTGAAATTGTTTTTTAAATCTTTATACCTTTTATAATTGTGTAATTATTTTCAGAGAGTACAATGTCTTCCATAAAATGAATTATATATCTTTTTAAAAAATAGATTATTATGATCCTGTTTAATAAATTATTCAGTGGTTATAGAGAACATTTTACAGTCTCTGAATTTCTCCATTTTTATTTTAACATTCTACTAAAACAATAGCATTTTTTAGCTTTTACTAAAACATAGGCATATTTTTCATTGAATATTTTTTGATTTTTTTGTTCCCTTTAACACTCAGAAAACTTTTAAGATCATAGGAGGGAAATTAATTAAGATGTCTGCATTTCCTGGATCTTAGAAAGAAGGTGAGCAATTGGCATTTGACTCATTTTTGACAAGTAAAAAGGTTTTTTCTCTGCAGGGATCTTTTCCTGGTAACTATTCAGCTTATTGCAGATATTTGGGGTCATATGAAATGGTGACAGTTTTACAAAACTCTCTAAAAAAAAATTGACATAAAGCAGAGATTTGACCAACATGAGAAAGATTGCTGAAAGACAATTAAAAAATCCCAGTCTTAGTGTATCACCCACCTGTGTGTATCCACAAAATATGAATTTTTTAAGGCTGCATCAGCTGGTGAAGCGCTGGAATATGCTTTCAGAAGCTACACAGAGAAACTAAAAAATAGGCAATGGACCAGCATATCAAAGACAATTTGGTACTTTTGCCTAGCTCCTCAAAGGTATACTAATGCCAATGGAATTTGCAAGCAGCACTTAAAAATAAAACCAAAAGTATTAAAGCAACAGAGATCCTGAACATGTTTCAGGCACAAAGGATAGGAAAAGAGGAATTCTAGCCCTTAATGTTGGAGTATTTAAAGATCACTGTTTTCCTTTCTTTCTTATAATAGTCTCACATAGTGCTAGGAAATGAAATTTAAAAAAAGAAACTTCTTATAATAACTGAGTGGTCAAATCTCTGCTGATTGATGCTTACGTCCAACATCAGATTTGAAGAAATGCATGTGACTGGAAACTATGATGCTTTTTCTGTCTACATTATTGTCATAACTCTTTATGCAGAGTTTATTTTTCCTTGGTATTTAGTGTCTCTTCCATTTACTGAAATGTTTTTTCTTGTATACACTATTCTATGCAACATTTGGTAGTCTTGTCAGACTTTCTACATTGTTTATTCTAATCACAATTACTGATGTCACAAACCTTTTCTCTGCAGCACCATTTGTATTTTATGGTTGTACATTTTGTCAAATTATTAATACTATGTATTTCTTTGCATTTATGAGATATCTAGTTTGTGATGCACTGCACAATGTTATGGAAGTTGTAAGTGCAGGCCAGTTGAAGGCAAATGCTGTTTTTCTCTGACTTAATGGTAATTTTAAAAGCAGTAAAAATGGCATTAATTTTGTGATATTTTCAGCCAAGCTAAAACTAATGAATGTTTCTCAAACTTAATTGAAGTGTGAATTAATTGCCTTTCTTTTAATTTAAAACCTCTACTTACATATTTACCATAATAAAGATTTTATTCCAGTGTTTTTTAGTCTTTAAAAAATACTAAATTATCTTGTCCAAGGATCAGAATACAGACTGTCAGAATCTTTTCTATTACAGTAGTATTGCTGTTATTTTTTGTACTTACTTTAATTTTTTAATTTTATTTATACTCTCACCAGTAAATTGGTATATCTTCTCACATTGTCATCTCATTTTCTAAATGTGTTACACTTCAAACTTGGTCAGATGGGAATTTAGGAACAAGACAGGCACAAGAACAGATCCACCCACCTGATTGAGAAGTCCTTTCTAAGAATGGTGAAGCTGAAGTTTATAATTTTTCACATGCACGACATTTACACACATGATCCATACAGAAACACTCTCCCACTAGTCAAGGCCTTCACTCTGTGCCCAGCACCATGGATGTGGGAAGCATCTGTAGATGTATCTCTGACATCCAGAGACGTTTGAATTATGTATTCTTTTCAGCTTAAATGACTGGCATGAGTTTCCACTGGCCCTGTTGGTCACATCACCCCAGGAGAGTCCTTGGATACCTCCCAGGTTGAAAGCCAATTTGCTCTTGTTACTTCGGTTGGTATCACCTGCTGGATTCCTGCCTCAAACACATCATAGGGAAGCGGTTGTCAAAAGTTCACCTGCCCTTCATTTTCCCCCACCCTGTATACAACTAAACCACTAGAATCGAGCAGGTGTAGCTGAGGGCTTTTGGACAATCCTCCCCATGACCACAGAATTTGGGTTGTTTTCCTAGAGCATAACATAAGAATCACTTGATGAGTGAAGAGGTGAAGTTTTCCCTATGGAAATGCTCTTCCTGTCAAACCAGGAAGCAATGTGAATAATTTGAATTTATATAACTATCGGCCTTGGAATTTAACAGCTTTGCATTCTTCAACACCAAGAACAATACATCCCCTCTTCTCCACCACTCTTTTGCAACTTTTGCAAATAGTGTAAAGCTGGATATGTTTTACCCCCACTTTGGCAGAGCATCCTGCTACAGAAGGAAAGAAACTCTTTAATTTAAACGTGATCTAGTTTCAGAATCAACAAGATTTTTTCCATTTTCAGCAGTCAGTGAATGTAAAACATTTTTACCTAGGACCTATCATACTCTTGGTGACAATACAAAAGATAAACCTCTGCCAACGAACATTCTACAAGAGGAAAGGGGCAAATTTGTTATTCAGAGACTGCATATTAAAATGCAAAAGTATGCAAAGTATGCATATGTTAAAGTAGGGTGCAAAATATTTTTATTGTCTTCTCTTGAAGACTTTTAGATTTGAGTCTTTCCAATTTTTCAGAGGCAGACAAATAGTAGGACTGGAACACTTTAAATGAGGCCTCTCAGTAATGTCACGCAGCTAGTTCTCTTACACTGTTTTTGTGCAGCTAACACATGCATGGAACTGAAAATGAAGCCATCTCTTCAGCCCCCCTTTTGCCTGAGATCTAAAACACTCCTTACCACTAACAGAGTGAGTAGCATTTTCATTTAGTCAGTACTACCTGTTTAGAAAAGTAAACAAATACTAAACAAACTGCCTCATGAGGTTGTGCCTTTTAACAGGCCTGCCTGCATGCTTTCCCCTTGGCTCACTACCTCTGTCCTACTTTTTCCTCAGCGAATTATTTCAGATAAGATTATAAACCCTTAAAGAATTTATCTTCATTTGTACAACACATCTAATACAATGAATCTCTAACCCTAACTACAGCTTTTTTATTATTTATATATGAAACAATATCTTTACATTTATGAATTGAGTTTAACTAACCAAAGCAGCTTAGCACTCTCTCTGTATAGAGCATCTCTTTATTTTCACTCATTTTTCATAATCCTTAAAGCAAGTCTTATAGCATGTGGGAGCAAAGTTAAAAAAGAAGAAAAAGTAATGAAAGAAACCTCACCTGAGTTATCCTAAATTGATATTATTATAGTTATCTGTGATTATAAAGAGCTGACTGTAAAAAGACAGGATAGTGTACCATAAGTTCCATTATGAATGCAATTCTAACTTCCTAGTGTTTGGATTCTGTGCGCTGAGGGAAATACTCTGTACCTCAGAGCTGCCAGTGTCTCGCCCTAGGTCTGATTCACACTTCTGAGCTGTCACATATGAGACTTTTATACCATTCACCTTGTTGGTTTTTTTAAACACTATACCTCCAAAATACATTTTTAAGTTTTCTTTAAGATTGCCTCCTAATTTTTACTTTCATATAAAAATTTTGTATGCCAGACACTAAAAATTATACTTAAAAATGCATAAACAAGGAAAATCTTTGTCTAATTATTATATCATATGAATAATTTAATATAAGTACATGTATTAGACATTAAAATCTAAAATCTACATTGAATAAGTAATGCAATAATACTCTTTTGATCTGACTTTAAAAAAGCAAACCAAACAAATCAAAACAAAAACAGAAGCCTTAGAATATGGCTCTAAGGTGGAATGACTGGATAAAATGTCACTTATCATGAGTTGGAACACTGCTAACAAACAAATGTGTAACAATTCTTTCTAGTGCATCTCTCAGCCTTTGTGACCTGCTGTATGCACAGGAAGATGAATGCTAGAAACAGGAGCTGGAATTTATAACTCTTAAAATAATAATGATAAAAAAAATGCTAAATCAGCCATTGAAACTGTTGTTTTGTGCTTCTGTGCAGTCTGTTTCTCAACCTTGCAAATTTTGAAGTTCATCCATGATCTTGTTAGAAAGCTGCAGACTTGCTATTGACAACTGCTTTTTAAACTCCTTCCAAGAATTCCTTAGTGCACTTTTATGACATTCTGTGTAACACATGGAACTAAGGGAAGATAAATTGCAATAATGAACCACTTTATTTCCCATGTGCATTTTTTTCCTGTACTGTTGTTTTTTCCGCTTTAGCACAGCTTATTTGCTGTAAGAAGTGTAGTCTTATTTGAGCATCATATAAACCATATAAAGCACATTCTATTTCATTATAAAAATTCAAAATCAGTAATTTGTTGGGAAAATCGTATCATTTATTAGCTGTTACTTCATTCTGATAATTTCTAAGTAATTGTGATCTAAAATACGTCTTTGAATTTTAATTCATGACACAGTAGTAAGCATGCAAAATATTCTAAGAAATCACATTTAGCAAAATCTTTATGGTTTATTAAGCCATAGTCTTAAGATTAACAGTCTTTGTGGCTAACCTTCATTTGGGAGTATTGTTTCTGTGATCCCCACCCCTTTTACAATTCAAATTAAAACAGGCAATATTTAGGGATGTGTGTGTGCAGCTTTCCTTGAGGTTTAAAAAATAATAAAATTCTAAAAAAATACTCCACCTAAATTGACAGTTATATTTACCCATATTACAGACAATTTATTTTTTTAATTCATTACAAATATTTTTCTGCTATCTGTAATAAAATATTTATAATCTATTTATTATTTTAAAATATAAAATACTTTCCCTTTACACATTAATGGTGCAACTTTGAGAGTTTATTGATGGTGACGATAGGGTTGAACACATATGGGGAAGAATCAGGCAAGTCTAGCAAGGCAAGCATCATGGTGGGAGTCTCTTACAGACCACCCAGACAGGACAAAGAGGAAGATGAAATTTTCTTTAAGCAGCTGGAACCTCTAGGCCTTGATCTCATGGGAGATTTCAACTTACCAGGTGTCTGCTGGAAATACAAGATGGCAGAGTTGAGGAGTCTAGAAGGTTTATGGAGCATATGGAAGAGAACTGCCTGACACAGAGGGTGAGGGAACCAACCAGGCAAGGTGCCCACTGGACCTGCTGTTTGTCAGCAGAAAAGGGCTGGAGGGACATGTGGTGGTTTGAGGACACGCTGGGCATGGAATGATACAGCTTTTGATCTTTGGAGAAGGGACTCAGCAGCCTTGGACTGCCAGGGAACAGACTTTGGTCCATTTAGGACGCTGGCTGACAGAATCCTTTGGGAGATATTCCTGAAGGGCAAAGGAGTCCAGGAAGGACAGATGTCCCTTTCGAGAGGGACATCTCACAGGCCCAGGATCGGGCCTTTCCCACGCGCAGAACGACAAGCCAGTCAGGAAGGTCAGTCTGGGAGAACAGAGAACTTTGCGTGGAACCTGGGGGAAGAAAGGACAGTTTATGTTCTTTGGAAGAAGGGGCGGGTAGCTCAGGAGGACTACAGGAATGTCGCAAGGTTATGCAGGGAAAATAAGAGATGGGTTGCTACCTGTTCAGTGTATGAGATTTCAGAAGGAAAAAAGAATTTTTTAAAAAATAGCCAAATGACAATCAAATTTGCTTATAAACCACCCTAATGAGCATAATATAAAAATTATATTAGACAAATTAAATATGGACTAAAATATGTCATTTTTCAAATGTAACGTTAACTGGGATTTTATGGCTAGAACTTCCAACTTACATTAAATGTTTCGAGTACTCTTATAGCAAGAGGTCATTCAGCTGGATAATCAACCAGTAACAATCTTTAAGCATTCTCTTGTCATAATAGTATGCAGGCCTATTAAGTCAGAAACGCTATTTTCTCATTGAAATTTATTCCATTTCCTGAAACACTGTCCTTCTCTTACTTGTTTTTCTTCTGTTTTCTTACATTTATAAACATCGGTTTGTTTTTCCTACAAGCAGTTTCTCATTTGCAGAACAAAATCTGTTGTCCATAGTCTGTCCATTGTGCCATTTCTGCCTATTACTCAGATATGCAAAATGAAGATAAATTGTCCCCATTTCAGAATGGCTTGAATCTTAAGAGCTTAGCTGGTTTTTTTTAGAAACTTAACTTTTGATCATTAACTATTATTAAAATTCTGTAAATAGCCCATAAATTATCAATGCAATCAATAAATATTTACAGATATTTTAGGAGAAAAGTTGAGCTTCCCTTAATGAGAGTAAAACTCTGGGAGATTACTTGTAGCCTCTATTAGACAGGGAGTACAAAGTGATCTAACTCAGAGCACTGAAAAATTATGATTTTTGACGATATTTTTACTAAAAAGTTATCCCTTTAAAAGTTTATGGCAAGTCACATTGCTTAGCATATCAAGACACTGTTTATCCTCAATACATTCATGGAGGCTACTTGAAGGACACTTTCAGTTCATGGTCCTGTATACATAATATAGCCTTTTATTATTGACAGAGTCCAGAGCCCTGCGAGTATTTTACAGTGCATTATTTTTTAGAACCAATAAATTACTCATCTGAACTATCCAAGTATAAACATGATGACTTTTTTTCAGGCTTGACTATGATACTATTACAATGAATTATGGATTTCAGTGGTTATCTGGTTTTGATGTGTTGCAATAAATCATGATCATTTATGATTGGTTCTGAACTTCATATGGGTTTTTTTTCATATAGTCTGTGCTACCCTTGTAGGTTCCTCAGAGTCATACTTTTAAAGATATCAGACAATTTCAAGAGAGCCCTAGATTGATTTAAATTTTTTAAACAAATTTAAATACATTTTCGGACTTCTATTCCATATACTATTATAAAAGCTCCACAAATAAAGAGTGAACTCAAAATTCCTAAGTATTTGTTAAAGGACAGAAGACAGACATTTAAAATATAATTTTTTTTTTTTAAAAAAAGCCAATATTCTCCAGTTACACAGACTAAATTAGCAGCTATTAGCAGATGATTCATCTAACAGCAGCTTCCAGATTAAAAAAACAAAAAAAGAAACAACAAAACAAAAAAAAAGACAAGACATCTTTAGGCCATATGTGAGGTATGTGAGAGCAGCTATACCACATACCACAAACATACCCCAGAGGAACAAAAAAAATTTTCCTAATCTCACCTTCTTTAATGCAGTCTGTCATGTTTTCTATATCCTCTGTTATCTGGAAACGGCATTTTTGCATTAGGAGTTCAGCCAGGTTCTCAGTGGCACTAAGATTTTACCCTAACTCCCTTTTACTGTGATTAATTATTCTCCTATTCTATTATCTAACTGTGAATTTCTAATTTTTTTACTTTTTTTTTCTCCTGATCAGATATATTACTTCTGTCTGGAGGATGTATCTTTCTTCACTTTCATTTCTTCTTAATTTCTCCACACTCTCCTATATCATACTGCAGCTTTTTATGTATTATGTATTACTACTGGGCTAGGCACTTCCCTCACCAGAACACCTAAGTTAGATTTAAGGGATATATGAGGTCAGTACATTTGATGAAAGAAGAATTTTATTTTTTTTATATCAGTTCAACACTTAAGGATTTATAATAAAAAATAATAGAAAGCATTAAATAATTTTTTTAAAGAACTAGAAGAAAATAATTAATTTTCCACACTCCCAGATTGAGCAAATTCCTGAATGGATTTGGAGTTCCATAGGACACATGGGACACTTAGTTGCTAGGGAAGCCTTTGTACAGGCACATAACAAAACAGCTTTCTCCTTGTCTGTCATCTCAGAATTTGCAATAAGAATCACTTATTTTCAGAACCACTAATACCCAACTAACACGTTTTGATGCCCTCCTTGTCAGAGAGTGCTGGGAGACTCAGTTGACATGATGTTGCTGCATGCATCTGCGTTCAACACAGGTAATTGCAATGAGCACAGATTTAGCAGCTTCTCAGCTACAGTTTGCACTGCTTTACTTCTACTGCACGTTGACGTAAGGTTGTAGCAAGTTAGGGGTCAGGTTTCTTTCCTAAGTAAAATAGAACAAGAAAAGGGGCCTTAAGCTGGTCAAGGAGTTCAGATATCCAGATTGGTTGTTAAGAAAAATTTCTTCACCAAAAGGGTTCTTAAGCAGTGGAGCAGGATGCCCAGGGAAGTGGGAAAGTCACCATAGCTGAAGGTATTTAAAGGATGTGTAGATGTAGGTCTTGGGCACTTAGTTTACTTTGAAGACGGAAGTATTAGGTTAATGGCTGGATTCAGTGATCTTAGAAGTCTTTTTCAATCTTGATGATTTTACGAGTCTGTGATTCCTTACTCAGTGAATCTCACCTTCTTTCACGTTTCCTTAATATGACTGCCCTAATAATCAGGGTCAGGTTTATACACTCTAGAAAATGTGTAGCTTGTAGATCTGCCCAGATTCTACATCAAAGGCGCAGAAGGGAAATATGAATCTCCTAAATGCTTTAAGTATACAGGCTTTTTTTTTTTCCACTACTACTAAATTTGGTGCAAGATTTCATGTTGGTATCATTCTGAATTTTTAATTATACTGTAATTTAAAGTTGCATTTAATGAATTGTTTCACAGTAGCAGAAGTAGTGACCCACAGTTCTCAACTCTTTTTAGCCCTGCTGTCCATGAATTATTCACTAGCCATTATTAAAAAGGGTTTATTTTATTAAAGAATCTCAGGGAAAAACCTCAAGGAAAAACAGGAATTACTATAAAGTTCTTCTCAAAGATCCAGCTAGGTCAGAAATAGATGCTCAACAACAAATGCCTATTTGTCTTAGCTACACATTAGCTGTTTTTCTTTAATATTCTATTATATAATAGGAATGCTCCTCTATATTGCCTCTAACCTTAACTTCCCTTAATTTTGTAAGGTAGTGACACTGCTTGACCACTTTCCCTGAAACCAAGCAAAGGATGACTCTTACCAGCACGAAGCAGAACAGCATCAGCATCAGTCCTGCTACACACCATTCTCAGCTGGGAGTGAGAAATAGCATGAGGAAAATAAGCATGTGCAGAGCTCACACTCATTTGAGCGGCAACGTAGAAATTTAAAAGATCATTTCCTACCTGGAGCATATTTCCTGGCAGCATAGGAAAAGTAGCAGCACAACTGAGAAATTACATTCTCTATTCTGACACATTCCACTGCTGAATACCTAGCACAAAACCAAGGAGAAAAGAAAACATACTGCAAGGAAAACTCATCCAAGCAGACACCAATCTCAGCAGAAAGACATCACATCATATTGACCACAGCCTCCAACCTGCCACTGCTGCCTGACTGCAGTGTTTGTGATGCTAAACCATCTGGCTGCAGGGAATAAGCTCTTCTGAGAGACACTGAAGGCTGGGAGCTCCTACTTCCCAGTCAGCCTGGTGTTTGCTCCTTCCCAGCTGGAACACAGGACTCGCCAGAGACCCAGCTGAGACGTATCAGACATAGGCTAAGAAGCCAAGTCAAACACACTCAGTGGGAGTGGAGGAATCTACTGTAATTATTGGCAAACTATTCAGCCTTTTACCAGTGTAGAATTGAAGTCTGTCCATGGTTAAAGCCTGAGGAATTTAGTGTTTCTTTTAAAGTTGTAAGTGCATGAACAGTTATTGAACAGTTTAGGTGTGGTTTAGATAATTCTATGATATTTTCTCTTATAGAACCTGCAAAATCTATTTTTACTAGCTTGTGTTGAACCAAGCTGGACCATTCTGTAATTGACAGTTCTTCACTCTGTTTCTTTAGTGTGGATTAATTATTTCTCTATGTATTTTAAGAGTCCCCGGGATTTAACTCTGCATTGTCAGGCAGATATACCAAGCAGATGATTAGATATGTTTCTGGTATTTATAAGGAATAATGTGCACTTTTTTATTCTCTCCATGATGCCATCACACTTATTGTAACTACTCATCATAAACCAATGGGTTTGTAAATAATAAACTTTCCAATAATCCAAATCTAGAAAGGTGTTTGGCTTCCAAATTTAATTTAAAATATACTCTTAAACAGTTTACAGCACCCCTGTTTCTTCACTGCAATAAACAGTGCAACTATTTCCCAAAAGTAGCACTCAAGCATGTGACTTGCTTTGGCTCATTATTTTATTGCATTAGATATTTAAAGCTGACAATAATCTCTTGTCAATAATTTTTTAGAAAGTGGAGGTTTAATACAATGGTTTTCATTACCAAGATCTCCGTTCTCCTGCGTGAGCCTTCCTGATGTTTGTTGCCAAATAGGACAGCATCTGTACCTCTAACAGACTGCACCATGTCTTTCCATCAAAAATTGCTTGCAGCTTGCATTTGAGATCCAGTATGGATTAAGAACAAAACTAAAAGAAAATTTTCTATCATTCTGTTGGTACTTGCTAAATATAGCACATGTAAATCATAATACTCCCTTTGGACAAACACATTAAATTATTTCAGTAAATTATTTCAGTTTCTGGCAGCTATTGCAATACCTCAAAAGAGAATTTAGTACTAGAAATGCTCATGACCATGAGCTCTCACTTCACACAGTCCTAGAAGATGTTTGCTACCTACTGAATAAATACAGATAAAGAGATTTGCATCGTATGTATCATTTCAATGGTGCTTTGAATTTTTTGAGTGCTCTTGCTTGCTAGCAGGTAGCCTAAGAAATGTGAGTGTGCCAGGTCTACTCCATGCTTTTACCAGCTTTTCTTTTTCTCTGACCAGAAATTAAAAAAAAAAAAAAAAATCAACATCTTAATCCTACATGAGGGTATAGAATGCATTGTGATGTTTACATAGTTATGGCATACATGCAAACAAATTAAATAATCCACAACTAAATTAATTACTGGGTCAACATATCTTAAGGTCAGGAAGGGCTCTCTATGGTACTAGAGATTCACACTGAGAGCCAGGACCAAGATTTTATGTTCTTTATGTGCCTTCAAAAACTAATAACAGTGTGAAAGGTTGCTTTTCCTACACTTAAAAAAGGTTTGCTCTTGCTTTTGGAAAAATGTCAAAACCTGAAAGCACACCTAAGCAGAGAAGCACAAACATGAGCCAGAACAGGAGCAGACTTACCTTCTGAGGATCTGTTAGATGTCAGTTCAAGTCTGTAACGTATGGCCAGTTCTTCAGTGGGCCAGGCTGATTTCAGGAATGCATTCTCAATTGTGCCTGATGTGGAAGTTTAATTTTTTTTCAGACTGCTGCCTAAAAGTAATCTCATTTTGCATGTAGTAAAAAGATTATATCACATAAATCCTGGAAAAGATAAGGTGAAAAATATACAGCATGCTATAGACAATAAAATCTACTATTTTGTGCTGCTTTTATGTATTTGTAAAAGGCAAGAGTGATACTATTTATATATTATACATATTCATTACATATGCATAAAAGGCTTATACCTGAACAAGCTCTAAGCAATATTCCAAAAATGCAGGTATAATAAAAAAAACCCTTTGTTAAACCTCTAGAAGGAGTTTAAAAGAAGTCTGAAAACTCAAACGTTGCTGAAGACATTAATTCCAGTTGTTAAAGTCATAGCCCTGAGTCTCTGGGTGAAGTCTTTCCAACTCACTAGTCCATGCCTGCCCCCACACAGACAAAAAGCTTCTTGATGATATATTCTGAAGTGCTAAAGCTAAGAATAAATATCGTATGCTCTTTTCAAACCTTTATGGCTGAGAGCTTCTTGCTTAGTTTCTACTCAGCTCTCTTAGTGGCTTGCATGGAAATTAGTTCAAGTAGGGTGAGTAAAGACCAGGCAACAATTTCAGAATAAATAACAGCTCTCATTGCTGAATGGCAATGCTACATTATGAACAAAAGCACAGGCTCCTTGTCCCTGAGTCCTTCAGTGGTTCATGAAATAGAAAATGTTTTGCAAATGAGCAGAGAAAAACAGGCACAAGCAGGGGAAGAAATATAAATGACTGTATTAGAAAGCTACGGACACATTGCAGTATGCCAGCAGCACAGCAAGTGAAGTTATGTAATTCTGCTTATTTTCTGTTGCCAACACCAAGATGTATCAGAACATGATTCTACCTTCAAGCTATTCTTCATAATCAGAAAACATTTCAAAAACTTTGGTGGTTTTTTTACACCAATGACAGATGAAATCCTAGAGATACTGGAAACCCTGAATTCTCAGGGTGAAGTTATCTGCCTGCCTTTAACACTTGGCACACATCTTCATACAGGAAAATACAGTAGTGGCTTCCACATTTGCAGCCATTTTTCTTCAAGAAAAAGGCATTTATAGAACTCCTCCTAAAATAAGTAAAGTATGTTCCTACATTAGATCTTAGTCATTTACTAAATATTTTTAACTTGTCGGTTACTTCCATATCATACTGTGTGCAACTAACTATATATTTTAGTTGAGAGCTGCTGTATTTAGTAAAACTTGTTTGTGATTCATATTCTTAAACACACTCAGAGATAAATTCCAATGAAGGTCAAAGATTCATGTGAATAGTCGCTGAAACAACATTTCATAGTACAGAAATGTGTTCAGATAAATTATAAGAGCATTATAAGCTATAATAATGCTCTTTAAAAGACTTCTAAAAATTACTCATGCAACACTGTCATGAAACATCCCTATCTTCAGAGGAAAAGTTAAAGACCAATGTATGACAGATCAAACTGATTTGCTGCAGTATCTGACTAAAATACCACAGAGGGCTGGCAATGTATTCTAGAACCCCAAAATGTAAGAAGCACCTTATCAATCAGAAGTAGAAAGTGAAGGGGAAGGAAGCAACTCCTGTGAATCAAAAAAAGCTCTCTATATTCACTGTTGACAGTATAAAATGGTGCAAAGAATTTAACATAATTGTTTCACCTGTTTTGTCTTTTCAAGGCTTTTCTGTGCATGAAATATCTGGCTTTAGCCAGTAATTTCTGTGTGTGGGATCTGTAACAGTACCATGTATGTACAGAGTGGTATCTCAGTATTCTGCCAATGAAAGCTTCTAGAGAAATATAATTCTGTTCATGTTCCCATGTTTATCATGCTTAAAGGATAAGAATTTTAAGATCTCTGTAAAGGACTGCAGACATTTTTTTTTTAACATTCATAGGCCTCAGGTTTATAATATGCTCAATAATTTCTTCAATACCTAGGATAATCTCTGTGTGTGCTCTCCAAACATGCATGTCTGACCTCACTTATAAATATAAGTTTTATCTTCCGTCATCATAAATATGGATGAGCATATGACTCAGCTCAATCTTTGAACAAAAGTCTTCATTATTGCTTCCTGCATCTGTGGATGAATCATGGCCCTCTCTCTTCCTTTGCGTTGGACAATGAAGACTGGGAATAGCATTTAGCCTGGTTAATGGTCTAAGAATAAGGAAAGACTTAACTTTTGCAGAATGATGGATTTGAAATTTGCTGATTCCTTACCTTGAATAGAGTAAGGAAACACAAGCAATGTGTGCAATGGCAGCCTGGAGGCTACAGAATAAGAGAACACAGTATGCATTTATGCAGATTTCTGTATCTGAGTAGTTTAAATAGTACTACCTGATAGTTACATATAACAAAATAACAGTGATAAGTGATGTGATATCTGTTTTTTAATGTTATTGGCATGACACAACCATGCAACTCAAAAAGACAAATTCATCAGTAACTTTATACTTGAAAATCTTTGTCTTTTACAAATTACTTTGGAAATACTGAAAGTTTAATGGGCAGACTGGGTTTGGTCCAAACTTCTGAAGTTTGATCTGGTATAGCAGACTATTTTCAGCGCTCTGTGAACCCAGTCTTTAACAAGATGTTACCCAACAGTAACTGTATGAGAAGTATTTGTATATATAATTGTACATGCCTATCTATAATGGCATTTCTGTTATAAGTGCAAGACGACAGAAGAGTTAAAGCGTTTCTAAATACTTCACAGAGAATTGTGTTCTTTGTCTATTGGAAATCTATTTCGTGTGATTTCCTTAGTGCCACTCACTCCCTGCTTCCTCTTAGATAACTGTCCTCTGCCTGTGGCATAAGTATTTTAATTGAGTTTAAAATGCATCTGTTGGCTGATAATCACAATTCTCAGATATATGGCCTAAAGAAGCAATGTCAGTTGAATACTTGTACTGCCAAAACCAGTTTTATGCTGTTTCAGATCCCATCTTTCAGATATATTTAAAAATAAAAAGTAAAATAAATCTATCATTCACATGGATTCGTGAATGAACCAACTTTGAATTACTTTGGAAATCATTCTGTTTATAATCAATTGAAAGTTCAGTGTACAGAGCAATGCTGCAAAACCCATGTTTCCAAGATCAATATATTACTATTAATCAGCCCTAGATCATAAGCTTCAGAGAATGGAACATATTTCAAGATAAGGTCTGTCAAGTAATGATGAAATTGTAGGTGGATATAGTAGTAACTAGGTAATTTGGACAAAAAATTTATTTATATTGTTAAAAGGTGCAGAGTCATTGATTTGCACTAGCTCTGGGTTACTGCAATACCTGTTCCCCTGTTCCATGATTAGAAAAGGGGAGATTTTTGCCAATCATCTCTAATGTCACACACGACAATTCATTGTCTATCTCCAGACAATTTAATTATGAACATACCCTAATTTCAGTAGTCATAATATGATCAATTGATAATCATCTACTAGTCATAATTATTTCTAAATAATTCTCATTTAAATTAAAAATTCATTAAGCTGACATAGGTAGGCACTTTGTGTGAAGTACTTTTGCTTAATAATGAATCAAATCCTTTGATTTTGTGAAAGACCCAACAATTATTTCAGAAATTACATTTCCTTGTACAAAACATGTTATCAAAAACAAATTGCCAGAAAAGTGGTAGGTATTAAGAACCTCAAGTAGACATTTACAGAAAAGGTACCTGTGATTTTCCAGAAAAAAAAATGAATTTGAGAAAGGAGAATGGAAAACAGAAATAAATCTAGATTGTCTTTGGTCTCAGTCTATGTTTAAGCAGTATCCCTAACATAAGGACAATCATTAAAGGCACATAATTGAAAACATTTTTTATATTGCATTATGTTATGCTTAATTGCTTTGTTATGCTTAATTACATTATGTTACATGTTGCCATGTCCCATAGAGCAGTATTTATTTGTTTAAGCTTGAGACAAAAGCATAACCTTTCAACTAAAGAAGCTATCAAAAATACATATATTTTGCTGGCATAAGTATATCTCTTAATGGAAGCGTCTGCTCACATAAACAGATGTAGTAGTGAAAAAAAATATTATAGAGAGAGCTTCTAGTCAAACAAATAATTCAGCAATCAAAACATCTAAACATGAAGGGCAACTCAATTTCTGGAACTAGGTAGGAAAATGTACAGATAGATTATGTTGGTTTAGAAATTAAATTGCCTGAAGAACCTCTGCAAGGTCTCTAATGAGTGAGAAAGTATTGCATGCTCTTTGATTTAATTCAAGCAGGCAGAAGTAGCTATCTGTAAGTGTTTATGGAGAATATTATTACTATATGCTCTGGAGACAGACTGAAAGTACAAGGATCAATTCTGTATTGATGTATTCAAAGGATGTCTAGTAGCTACCCTTTTTTTCAATGGCAACATAATTATTTCCTCACATTGAAAATAGTATTTCTCTTAATCTTATCATGAAACTTGGCTTAATCATGAGATTACAAATCTGATTGCATGCGATTTAGAACATTATAATGGCATTCATAAATTCACATAAGGAAAACTTGAGCTTAGGCAGAAGTCTTCAGAGGGAGTAGATTTTGGGCAGGAAAGTCTCTTCCCTTTTCTGAGAATTTCTGAAGGTTAAAAGAAATCCTCTAAAATTTAAACTGAAAAATCAAAGAAATATTTCAATAAGAATAGTAAAATTAAGGATCCCTTTCAATAAAATACTCTTTGAATCAATTTGAATCTCAGTGTATAAATTCTGGATAATTACCACACAATATGCAATAAACTGTAGAGCTTAAAATATTAACTTCCCTCCAAGCTCTGTGCTTTTAAGACACATTGGATTTACTTTGAACTTAAATACTTAAGTCACTAATAATAGAAGCAAAAATAATGGTAACTGGGAAATGAGAATGGATTGAAGATTGAAAATGTCCAGGTATAATGATAATGTAGATAGTGATTAATCATTTCTCCTTTCCAAACTGGTAATTCTTTTTCTACAAACCCTGTCGGCTGAATAAGACCCTTTGTTCATAGACTTGCAGAATATTTAAGCCTGGGAAGAAGTTCTGGAGTTCATCTGGTCCAAATTCCTCTCTCAAGCCAGCCAGAACAAACTACCCAGGACCATGTCCGGATGTTCTTATAGACTCTTCAGGGATGGAGACTCCACAGTCTCTCAACCCAGGGCCAGTGCTCTGTCATCCTTACAATAAAAAGTGTTTCTTGAGGTTCCTTCTGTGTTTCAATCTGTGTCCATTTCCTCTGACCCTGTCACTGAGCACCACTGAAAATATCCTTGCTCTGTTTCCTCTAAACCTTCCCTTCTGGAATTTATATACACTGTTGACACTCCTTCAAACCTTCTCTTCTCCATGATGAATAGTCCTAATTCTCTCAGCCTCTCCTCATAGATTAGATACTCCAGGAACTTTTTTGGTGGGACTTCACTGGATTTTGTCTGATATGTCTCTTTTTTTCTGGAGAGACTAGAACTGGATGCAGTAGTCCAGGTGCAAAGTTATTAATAGCCATTTCAGTTTCACAGTTACAAGGGCTAACGGAGGAGAACGTATCTGACAGAACTTTCAGACTTTCTACCATTAGCAGCTCATCCAACAGCCACAGGTTTGTACCATCCCACCTTTTTCTGTTCAGAAATGAAATGGACATGAAGCAGTGAAACAGGAGTGGTGAAGCATCCAGTGTTTGACATGTATGCTAGAGGAGCAATTCCAGAGTTGGTACATCAGTAGTCTCATAACCTGCCTGACCAGCACAGCAAATCTTGCACTGTCCTGTGCTGCTGAGTCTGGCTGACTGCACAACTGGATCTGAAAGCATTTTATAGTTGGAAAGGTCACAAAGATATTTTCATAGTCTATTACATCAATGTCAACAAAATTTAGAAGTATATTGATGGAAGCAGTTAAGGAGACTAATCCTTTAAATTGGAAAGGTGTAAGTGCCTTTGATTTACTAGGAAAAAGAAGAAACATTTTTCTTCCATGTTAATGAGAAAGATGAAAAGAAATAACTAGAAACCATGGAAATTTGTCAGGAATCAAGATCATCAAATCCAGCCCCTGTTCCTGCTTTCAACCTTGCAAAAAAATTACTTCAGAAACTTACATATTTTTAAGGTTAATCGTCTTAGTTTTCTTGCACTTGGAAGATAATAGTGGAAGAACTTTCAACTTATTTATCATTAGCTTTAGCTATAGCTTCATGAAAAGAAACTCATTGATTTCCCTAACTTAAAGAGCTGTCTTGTCCCCAATTACTCCTACACTATACTTTGTGAATCTAGTTGCTATTTATGTTAGATTTCTGTTCTTCTTATCAACCTAGCAATATCTATTGCAAATTTAGCTCACCTTTCTTGATCATCAGTGATCACAATTTATACATTACATGGAAATTAACAGAAATAGACAGGCCTGAAACTGGAATGTTTGAGGGAGAAAATCTGAATAAAGTTCTTAGTATACATATAAGAATAGATCAATTATTCTGAATAATTGGAGGCACCAACTTTTACAATAAAAGGATTGCCTCATTATGTCTTCTTTCTTCAGCTATAGAGAGCATATGGAATAACTGTGACTAAGACCTAAACAATTACTGAGAGGCAAATTGGATGGCAGAAGGGTATCAAAGGAAGATCATGGTTGTAGTAAAACCAGCTTCTTTAAGTTTAATGATGCAGAAGTGTACCACACGATCATAAGAATGGTGAGGACATTGGCATAGGATGGCACAGAGTCTGTCAATAGCTTGTAATGAGCTCAGCACCAGTGCTGTTAAGTTGCACATTGTTACAATAAAAAAAAAAGATACTTAAAACTATTTAACTTTTTGACTTTCATGCTGTTAAAGATGATTAAATATAATGTAGCAATAGCTATAGGGCATGTAGAGATCATAAAAAGATGAAAGAGGCATAGCGTGATGACCCAACAGTGCACCAGCAGTAATGGCAGAACAGTAATAGTCTACGTATTCTTCATGCAGCTCCCATGCTGCTCCAAACCCTCTCTGTCATGGACTAGATTAATGAAACGGAGAATAACTTTATAAAGGTAGCACTTTGCTGCTAAAAACTGTTAACTATCTAATCTTTCTGTGACACTAATGCTACCTTTTTACACTGTAAATTCTTTCCTAGAATTCTTCATTTTCTGTGTACTTAGAGACCTTGATTATTATAAATTACTTGTGCTCTATACCTGGAAATTTTGTTGAAACCAAACTACTTATTCTTCTGTAAGCTGACACGA